TTTCCACAAAGTGCCAACCTTCTCCAAAATGTTTGATGAAACCTCGGTCTAACAGTTCCCAGGTTTTCCAATTTTTAAAGGTTGACTCTCATCACATAGCCTAGACTGGTCATACACTTCAAATTCTCCTGCTGCAGCCTCTCAATTGCTGGATTTACAGACAGTGCCACAGTACATGACTGTTACTCTTATTTAACACAAGACACAACTTTTCTCCATCCTGAGAAGCAGACTCAACTGCTCTCTCTCTCTCTGTTAATCCCAAAAATACAAAGAGAAGGACCATCAACTCAAATCACCATGGCCATATAAATTAAAGGATGTTTTTGCTTTCACGTACATGGGCTGCCTTCCCCTAACGTGGGCTTCAAGAGGTCATCATTGGATGTGAGGAAGACAAGAATTGTTTACAGCTCAGGGGTAGGGGGTACAGGAGCAGAATATAAGCATAACAAGTTAGTCATAACAAACACCTGAAACAAAGACATGATTGCAAGGTGGTCATAACATGGTAGTCACAGTAGTCATAGGTGCTCATATAACCTTTTAAAACAAAGGCAGGGTTGCAAGATGGTTATAAACATTTTTTTTTTGAAATGAGGACATAAATACCATTACTGGACCAGACAGGCAGGACAGAATCATTTGTCGTTAAGGTTACAGGTGGGGCATAATCCAACACTTGAGAAACATAATAAATCATAAACAGGAATGAACCTAGTTTGTCTTTACTATAAGATGCCTTTTAAACCTATGATGGAGGCAGGCTGGTTGTTCATATCCCTTCACCAGTATCTTATTAACTGCAAAGAAAGACATGGAAGTCTAACAACACACAGAGAAAATGCTGTAGTCATTGGAAGGATGACCTAAGGATTCATCATTGAACGAGCTGCTTCCTCCTATGTCTAGATACTTGACAGGAGGGGAAATGGGACTGAAATGTGTTTTAATTTTTCAAAGCACCCCAGTTAACCTAGCTGATAGTGAGAGTGTTCAGTCCAGTCACAACAAACCAGTACTGAGGGATCCCTTCGTTTTGCCCAAAGCCCTAACCAGCTTTCTTTCCCAGGACGAATGTCCATATCCAATCCCCTTACCCACAGATGTGAGGAAAACACCTCCATCTACCTCAACACTGTGCACATGGGTACAGATAGTGCGAGCTGTAAAAAGGAGTTCGATCCCCTTTCCTCCCTTTTCCTTCCAGAGCCCTACCAGAAGGGGATATGATTTGCTCTTCCTGGGTAACTCACACTCTCTTATGATTGACTCCCTTGGTAACTATTTTAGGGAGACAGTAAACAATATGGCTGATGGTAGAGATGAGGCATAAAAAGGAACCAGGAGAAATCTGTACATTCCTCTAAGACAATTGATGGGATTATTTAAGAGCTCCATGTGCTTTCCTTTGAAGATGTGCTAGGTCAGTTGTCAGGTTTTATTCTCCACTCTGGCCCTAAATTGTCTATCATAAAAATCAGAGAGTCTGTCAAACCATTTGAAGGCCCTTCGTCTGATATTCTTATCCTCCAGATCTGTTTTATTTTGTTCTGATACTGGGTATTGAACTCAGGGCTTTTCACATGCTAAACATATGTTCTACCCCTGAGTTACACCTCCAGCTACTGTCAAGTCTTGATATGTCCCCCCAAATGTACATTTCAATACTCACTTCTAGATGATTTTAATATGGGGGAGTCCCTGAATCCTATGCTAAGAAATACTGTCCAGAGCTTCAGAGAATATACAGTTTATTTAACCCACTGGTGGGGTAAAGGAACTATGTAAATATAAAGATATGCCACTTCTACACAACATACCGTGAACCTACAAAACAGTCTTTGAAGGCTAGTTTGAATCGTATGTCTGAGTGCAAGGCCCCATAGTCAGACTTTTCTTTGTTGTTTTTAGTTCGGGTTGGATGATATATGCAGGTCAGAGCTTACAATGATAGCTTCTTGACCTAGTACAAGAAGACTACTGGTTGGGGTTAAGTTTGATAGCTTCTTGGTTTTGACTGTGATTGGGAATAAATTAACTCCCACTTCTATACACCCAGTTTGGAAAATGACAGGTTTTTCCTTGGCCTGATCATTCTGTTGTACTATTAGAATGTCACTGGAGCAAAGAATGCTATTATGTAGTGTTCATACTACAAGGTTTGAGAGACCAGTCAAATGAAAAGTGGTCTGTATTGTTTACGATTTTCACATCCTACTTTGACTTTCATACAAAGCAAGTTGCAAGTTGCATGGTGTGGTATCCTTTTAGTGTTTCACATGTAGATCTTTTTGTTTTTCTTTTCTTTTCTTGCTTTTTTTTTCTTTTTTGCGATAGGGTTTCTCTGTGTAACAGTCCTGGAACTGACTATTTAGACCAGGCTGGCCTTGAACTCACAGAGATCTGCCTATCTCTATCTCCCAAGTTCTGGGATTAAAGGCATGTAGATCTTTTTCTTTTAATTGGAAATAGTGAGGTCTAAGCATGACTAAAATGACCCAGGAAACAGAGGAGCTTGCTCGGCAAATCTGGTGGAAGCTTTTAACACAATGAATCCACCAGCTGAAATCATTGCTTAACAACAGCTATGCACTCACACACACGGAAAGTGTGTATAAAGAGTATATTTTATAAGAAGTACACTCAGTATAAAGAGGCGAAACAAGGGGTGGGCAGTTAGCACGTTTCTGATCATGTCATCACAAGGAATTGGGTTTGACCCTCAAATTCATTTCCAAAAAAGAAAAAAGAGAAAGTCAGGTGTGGTGACATTCACTTAGAATTGTAGCTCTGGAGAAGTGGAGACAGGTGGATCTCTAAGGCTGGCCAGCTACCCCTACTAGCCTACTTCATGAGTTCCAGGCCAGTGAGAGAACCTTTCTCAAAGGGAAAAGGCAGTTAGCACTCGAGAAGCAATATCTGAACTTATCCTCTGGTCTCTGTGTGCATACTTGTTCACAAGATGCACAGAATAAATAAATAAATAAATAAAGATAAAACCTCTTCCTTATGGAGTTCAAACTGTAATGGGGGAGTATGGGCAATGAAAGAGATTAGGAAGGAAACACATAAGACAGTGATGAAAGTGTCAGGGGACAGACAATGCAAGAAAGAGGATCCTAAGATGTCAGAGCTGGAGCTGGGGAGATGGCTCAATGGGCAAAGTTCTTTCTGTACAAGCAGGAGAACCTGAACTCAGAACTTATGGAAAAACCAGGTGTGGCAGCACCTACATCTGTCACCTCAGTGCCAGCAGGAAGGGGGCAGAGACGGATGGCTCCCAGGGGCTCACCTGCCAGTCTAGACAAAATGGCAAGTTCTAAGTTCATTGAAAGACCTTTTCTCAAGAAATAAGGTGGAGTGTAGTTTAGGTTTTTTTGTTGTTGTTGTTTGCTTGTTTTTTACACACTGGGGGCCAATCACCCAGCTCCCAAATAAAAACATGGAGACTTATTCTTACTTATGAGTGCCTGGTCTTAGCCTGGCTTGTTTCAAGCCAGCTTTCCCAATTTAAACTAACCCATTTTTCTTCTTATGCAATTTGCCTCTGAAATTTTTATCTTTCTTTATTTTATATGCCTTTATTCTCTTCTTACTCCGTGGCTGGTTGTGCGATTGGGTTTTTGGTCCCTGGCATCTTCCTCTCCTCCTCCTTTTCTCGCTCCTTGCTCTCTCTTGAGCCTAGACTTCTCCTCCTATTTATTCTCTCTGCCTGACATGTGGGCTTTTTTTCGGTTTGTTTATATGGTGGATCACATGACAAATTTTTGTATGTTGAAACATCCCTCCATCTCTGGGATGAAGGCCTCTTGGTCATGCTGGATGAATTTTTTGATGTGTTCTCGGATTTGGTTTGCAAGTATTCTGTTGAATATTTTTGTATCAGGGCTTACAGAGACTGCACCAACAGCTGGGGAGCCTACATGAGATTGACCTAAGTTCTCTGAGTATATGTTAAAGCTGTGTAACTTTGTGTTCTTGTAGGACTCTTTGCATTGGGAACAGAGGCTATCCCTAACACTTTGTCTTGCTCTTGGGATCCTACTCCTCATACTGGGTCACCTTCCCTGGTCTTAATACATGAGGAGGTGCTTGGTCTTACTGCAACTTGATATACATGGCTGGTTGATATCCATGGGAGGCCTGCTCTTTTCTGAATAGAAAAGGAGAAAGTGTGTGTGTGTGTGTGTGTGTGTGTGTGTGTGTGTGTGTGTGTGGTGTGAGGTGGTTGGGACTGTGAGGGGAGGGAGGGGAAACTGCAGTTGAGTTGTAAAATAAATAAATAAAAATAAAAATATCACATGTGTGAGAACCTAAGTTTGATTCCCAATACCCTTTTAAAAAGCTGGGTACAAAGAAAGACCAGCGGAACAGTGACACATCCATAGACATGTCAAAGTAACTGGGACAAATCCTATGATGCCTCAGCCTGCCACAAGTAACTACAGACAGCTAAGAAATACTAAGATTGGGAAAAATAGTCTTCTCCAGGGAAAAACATACCAATTAATTTACCAAATGATGAGCCCTGAAAACATACAAATAAGCAGCATTATATAGATCTAACAGGTAATATTTAGGAATATATGTGCACACATAATATATGTGAGCACATAATAATAATTAATGAAAAAATAGACCATAAATGTGAAAGAGAATGAAGAGGGGGATGTGGAAGGGTTTGGAGGGAGGAGAAGAAAGGGAGGAATGTTGTAATTATATTATAATCTCAAAAATAAAAATTATAAAAGATATCTCAATTTTGCTTTTAAAACAGATGAAATATGAGTTGAGAGGGCAGCTCTCAACTGGGGAGCCTATTCATGTATTGGGCCCCTGGACACCTCCCCACCACCCAGAGAGGCAAGCTCTCCACTATGGGAGACTTCCTGTGAGCCTTCTGGCATTCTGCCTCTGCCTAGGTCACTTGTGTAAAGATCCAAGATGCATGGCAGTTGGAATGAAGTTCTTTGTTTTTCTTTTAAACTTTGTTTCAGGCCAAAGCAAAGCAGGAAGAACAGCATGCTTCACTGGCAACTAAAGAAAAGGTCACAACCAAGACAAAACACGCAGACCGGAAGGACCACAAAAGGGACAGCACAGGTTAGCATCCCTTCACTGCCCATCCGTGGATCTCGGCCTTCGATGAACAGTACAGTGTGCTGGGAGTAGAAACCAAAACGCCCCCTCCCCAGCGCTGCTACCCTGGGTCCTCTTGTGTGTCGGAGGCACACAAATGAGCTGGAGAGAGGGTTCTGCAGCTAAGAGCGTGCATCGCTCTTACAGAGGACCCCAGTTTGGTTCTCAGCACTCAAGTAAGGCAGCTCATAACTGTGCATAAGTCCCGCCCCAGGGGGATCTGACACTTATGAATTCTGTGGGCGCCTACATGTACATACCCATACCCAGAATTAGAAAATAATGAAAGCCTATGAATGTATTAGGGCCCTGGGCACCTCACCACAACTTAAGGAGGCAGGCTTTCCACTGTGGGAGACTCTGTGTGATCCTTCTGGCATACTGCTTGCTGTCTATCTCAGTAGTGAAAAGGGTTAAGGATCCTCTGTGAGGTTTATTCCCAGATGCATTACTTAAAAAAAATCACAAAACCAAAACTTTTAATTAAAGATCTGTTCACAAAAGTATGGCCCAAGATTCTCCTCCTAAACCGAAAGAAGCAATGGTTATACGGGCTTTGTGGAAAGGATCACACATGATTTTCTATCTTATCTAAATGAACTTCCAACTTGAGAGGCATGTTGTTTGTAAATGTGTTCAGTTCTTTCAAATGACTAAGCTTGCTGAGTTCTGTGGAGTGCAGCTAGTGATGGCCTATTCAGTGTTCTTCCCCGACAATGCAAGAAGATAGGAACAATGGAACTGGCTCCTCCAAATTATTCTCGTAGGAGTTACAGTTCTCTTCCGGTTTAGAGAAATTTTGCTGTTCTTGGCGACTTCGTGACTGATGGCCATGTCCACAGCTCTCAGAGCTGTGTGCAGCTGTAGCCAGATATCCACGGCAAGCTAATTCCGTGCAGTGTTTGATAAAATTAAATTTCAGTTCTGTCACTTATGTTGTATGGTTGTCAGAGTTTTCCACAAATGATTTCACATGTGGTGTCAAAGATAGGACTCCTTTAAGTATGTTTTTCCCAGAAAGACAAAACACTAAAAAGGTCTTTTAAAGAAGCATGAGAGGGAGGAAGAAAGGGACATAGATCTCATTTTTCACACATGGAGATAGAACGGAGTCAATAGCCCTGGGGTAACTTTGGTTGCTATTCCACAGGGAGGGCCTGATTTAGAAAGAGCACAGGCTCCAAATCAAGGAGCTCGGTGCTGTATGTTGCAGATGCAACCACTAGGTGGCGCGACAGACTCATTGTCTGTGAAGAAGGACCCAGCACGGTGGCTGTTACTTAGCTCAAACTAAACTGTAGAGGAAAGTCCCGAAGGAGTACCCTCACAGACGCAATTGCTGGGGTGTTGGGAGTGCTACTTTGCATGTATTCAAAGAACTGCTTTACATGTGTGTCACATAGGAGTGTTTTAAGACAAAGAGGCAGAAAACAGATGAAATGGGGGGGGGGCATAATCCTAACCTCTCAATGAATTACTTTGACTTTTATTTTTCTGAAAAAAATCATGAATCCATACAATATAGAATTTTCAAGAAGTTTGGATAAGTAGTATATGGAAAATAGGAATACTAATCAGAAAGCAAAATTTTTCCCTTGCTGGACTGAAGAGACAGATCAGAGGTTAAGAACAATTGCTGCCCTTCCAGGGGACCCGGGTTCGATTTCCCCACTTGGAGGCTCACAAACATCTGTAACTCCAGTTCCAGGGCATCTGAGGTCTCTTCTGGCCTCTCCAGACACCAGGCACACATGTCATGCAAAGACTTACATGCAGGCAAAATATCTACATCCACAAAATATTAATAATATAAAAGTCATTCAAAAAGAATTCCCCTTGCTCCTGTTCCAGTTAGGTTTCTCAAATGTAATCATTGTTACGAAATCACAATTTGCCTCCTTTTCAATCTCACACCTAATGGTCAACCAGACTACTGATGGAATGCTAACGAGCCAGACCGAGACTATCTGCTCATAGGATCGAAATTGCCCTTTACTATAAACATTTTTCATCGCTTAAAGCTGGTAGTGAACAAGAGAATGTCTCCTGCATAGTTACATGTTCATATCAGGGAATTCGGTAGCAAACATAGCCATGAAAGACTGGTACTCTTTTAGGAAATCGAAAGCACACATATCTCACCTTTCCTTTTTACATTTGGTACAGGGCCTTCGATCCAGGAGCAGAGCTATAACCCTGACTCTCAGGAGAAGAAGAAGACAAGAAATCAGTCTCTAAGTACTGATGCTGCCTCGAGCACAGGCCATTCGGCTTCAGAATCCCATCCAAAAAGACGCAGAAGAAGAGTCAAAAACGAGTTGTGTTTCGTAGAGAAAAGCCCTCTAAAATCCACGAAAGAACATGGGAAAGCTGGCTCCTCACCTACTGAAGAGTTGCCTGGTAGGGAGCACTCTTTCTTGAAGCTTTATCTGGAGAAGCAAAACACAGAGCAGAACCCAACTGCAGAGGCAGCAGTTACTACTCAGAAGATGCCTTCAGATAAAGGGAATGTGAAGGGGGAAACGACTGCCATAGACGTGGAAGCCCAAAGAACACCAGCACCACAGCCTACACCTACACATGTGGCAGAATTCACAGTCAACAGTCCACCACTCAGCCGTGAAGAAGGGGTTTCTGAAGGCAAGAAGAAAAAGGAGAAAGCCAGTTTGGTGTCACGGATAAGAGGACCATCCACAAGCCAAGAAGAGGCCACTGTCTTGAAGACAGCAGAGGCCCAAGCGTGTACGCCTCCTTCTCAAGTCCATGGAGAAGAGGAAGAAGCATCCAGCCTTGATTTGCAAAAGTTTCTGCCAAGAAAGGAATTATCCTTGGAGAGCACAACTTACCACAAAGGAAGGCATCCCAGAGGTGGCCTTCGGGCCTTTTCAGCAAGTGTTTCAAGCACTACCGCAGAGGATGTTTCTATGCCCATGTCGCCTCTTCCCCTCAGGAGGTGGCCAAATGCAGAGGAAATCTCCTCTGATTCATACAGTAGTTCAGAGTATGAGAGTAGTTCTGAAGTGCAACTGGGCTCCGCACATTCTTTCCAGCTCCTGTGGAACCCTCAAGATGATGATGTCTTCCTCAAAGCAGGAAATGCAGATGCTGAACTGAGCAAGATGGCGTGGCAGCAGTCTCTCAGCTATTCCTCCCAATCTTTAGGAAAACTCAAAGCTAGAGAACTCTCCTCAGACTCAGACAGTTCCTCAGGTGATCAGAGAAGCTGCGAGATGACATCTGCCCAGTCCTTCCAGTCCTTGGACGAGTTTGAAGGATGCTCAGAATCAGCAAGTTTTATCATCGATTCTGCCTCTGAAGAGAAGTTGACTCCTGGGAGATATTCCCAGGCCTTGCTGGAGTCTGAAGAAAATGAAGTCTCCACAGAGTCAAGCAGTTACTTTGAGAAGTATCACAGTTCTGAGGATATGAGCAGCTCGGAGGAAGAGCACCCTCCTGAACCTTCCAAGCAGGCCCTGGCTCAGTCCAGAGACCAGCAAGAAGTGACCCCAGTTTCGAGGAGTACGCCAAAAGAGTCGAGTGGTTCTGCCAAGCCAGTGCACCCTGTACACACTTCTCCACCCATTGTGAGCCCTAGTACTCAGCAGCAACCCCCCATTTTGGGGAACGTTTCTGGAGCACAAAGCAGACCCGTGGAGTCACTACCTCCCAGCCATACTGTCAGGTCATGGATGAGCCCTCAGTCTGAGCATCAAGCATTTGCAGAGGTCACTGCTGCTGACTGGGGCATTTTTATGCAGCCACCATCCCCTAGAAGGGCTTTGAAGCACCCAGTGAGGCACACGGTTGAGCAAAATGTCCCCACAAGTACAGACGTCTCAACCATGGGAGAGGTGGCTTCTGTGGAGACTCTGCCTCGCAGACACCACTCTCAGCCCCCAGTCAGACCAGTACTTGAGCAAGATATTTCTGTAGGCCCAGAGCTTGGCGTTTTTGAAGAATCTGTTGCTGCACAGTCTCCCAGATACCCTTCTCAGCCTTCAGTGGGGCCAAACATCAAAAAAGAAGCTTCACTGGGTGCTGAAAGTGCTGCATTTGAGGGAAGCCATTTTATGGAGTTCCTGCCTCCTCAGCATCCTTCTCAACCCCTGTTGAAACCCTTCACCCAGCACCAGGCTTTTGAAAGAGGTGTTTCTGTGGATTCAAGGCTTCTGGTACAATCTTCCCAGCCATGGATGAAGCCTCAAGGGAAGCAACCATTTTCAGGTTCAGAGAGCACAGCTTTAGAAGGGAACTCATCTATGGAGCATGTGCCCCCTCCTCTTTCCCAGCCTATGAAGCAGCCTTATCAAAATGTGCATTTCGAATCTGAGACTGTCGCCACTAAGATCATTACCATGGGCCCACAGCACACCAAATATTCTACTCATTCCTTACTAACCCCTCAAAGTCAACCAGTCTCAGAAAGTACCTCAGTAGAAGGTGCCTCTTTGGTGGAGCTACTGCCTCCTCAACCCTCAGTAAAGCCCAAATTCCAGTCACAGATGACCCGAGATCCAGTGAGTGCTTCCACTCAAGGGGGCAGCCCTATGGAGTCAGCACCTGCTCAACATACCTTCCAAACACAGCCTTTCCCTAAATTTAAGCAAGTGCCTACAGGTTCAGATGGTCCTGAGGCCCAAGGGATCATGCCTATACAGCCAGGGTCTTCCAGAAGCCCTTCCCAGCTATGGTTGAATCCTACCTTTGAGCAAATATCTGTACTCCCTGGCAATATCCCTGCTTCATGGGCCATTCCTGTTTATCCACCAGCTCCCAGAATGCCTTCTCAGCCCTTGATGGGATCAGTAGTCCGACAGTCAGCCTCCACAGGATCCGTGAACACATCTATACAACAAGTCGCTGTGGAGCCATTGGCTCCTAGAAACCCTTTGCAGCCATGGCCAACTTGTCCATTTGAACAAATCTCTGCACCCCCAGACCAGGCTGCAAAAGCAGCATGGAGCATTCCGGTTGATCCACAAGCTCCCAGAGTGCTTTCTCAGCTCTTGGTGGAATCAGTAGTCCAACAGCCAATCTCCACGGAGTTAGTGGGTACTTCTGTGCCCCAGAGCAGCTCTGTGGAGCTCCTGCCTTCTAGATTCTCTTTCCAGTCAAGAGTAGACCCGGAGACTTATGTAGCAGATGAAGGAGTTTCTGCAATTGTGAAGCCTGGAAGGCATCATTCTCAACCCCCAAGAAGCACAGAATTCAAGGAAGAAGTTTCCTCAGATTCATTGGGAGCTTCTGGAGAATGGGGCATTCCTATCGAGCCAAAGCCTTCGAAATATGCTCCTCATCCATGGTTGGGCCCTGAGTCTGAGCGCCAAGCCTCAAGTCTAGAAGGTTTTGCCAAAGAGGGGGACGTTTATAAGGAGGCATGGATTCCCAGAAATCCTTCCCAAAGCATTACAAAACAGCAAGTCCAGAAAACACCCTCAAGGTGTGAGAGTCCCTCTTTTGAAGGAGACATTCCCTGGAAGCCACCACCTCCCAAAGCTACTACCCAGTTCTTAATGAGTTCGAAAGTTAAGGACATGTCCTCCAGTCTAGAGAGTGCTGATGATCAAGACAGCTCTAAGAAACAACAGGGTAGAGGTGCCCCTTCCCAGTCCTTTGTGAAATTTATGACAGATCAAATCTTTGTCGAGAGTACTGCTGGGGAGACAGCCATTTATGGAAAGCCTGTGCTTCAGAATCGAAGCCGTCCTCCCAGATCTTTGTTGAAGCCTAAGCTGGAGGAGCAAGCCTTCTTATGTAACTGGGATGAGGAACCTCAGGAAGACACCACTTTGAAGAAGCTGCCCCTGAAGCAGCCTCCGCAGTCGCCCAGAAGACCGAGGTCACAGGAAGTTCTGTCATATTCGAAGGGCGCCCCTCTGAGGTGGAGCAGCTCCGCAGTAGACAGCACTCAGCCCCTGGGAAAGCTTGATCACCGGCAGAAAGTCTCCATTTCTGTCAGTTTTCCAGAAGAGCGGAAGAGGTTTGAAGGACAGCTGCCTTCCACACAGCCTTCTCAAGGCTTCGATGTTGCTAGGTCGCAGGCACCGGTTTTATCAACAGCTTATGCAAATGTTCCCGTGGAGTGGCACAGTCCTGAGGGGCGGCGGCCTCCCAGCCTGCCTGCTCAGGCTTCAGTGATCGCTGACTCTCAGCAACAAGCTTACGTAGGTTCTGCCAGTGCTGCCACTGAAGGAATCATTTCTAGGAAGAATACTGGCAGCTGGTCCATGCCAAAAGGCCCAGATTCTACAAAGAAAGCCATGAAAGACACACAAGGCTATGGGGACTTCATTAAAAGCACCCCAACTTCTGTTACCAAACCTGGCAAGTTCATTTCGGTTCCTGCCCAGAAAGCATTTGCTTCAACTGGCACTTACTCTACGGAGGAAGTTCCTCAGCGTCGTGATGAAAAAAAGCGTTCTTCGTTTCTCTCCACCAGCAAGTCTGATGTCGAAAATGTTTTCGGAGTGCGACTGCGGAAAATCTCCCAGAGGAGTGGGCTCCCAGAGCCCATTGCGCCAGTTGTCCCAGCAGGCAAAGAACAGATGAACAAAGGAACTCCCCAGGGCTCCAGTGGAGGCCAAGAGAAGTCCAGCCAAGCATTTAGCTGTGCACAAAAGCAAGGAAACAGGCCCAGACATGAAGGCTCTTTCAAGAAACTACCAGTTTTCAGACCCCCAGGTGAGAGTTTTGTCTCTCCAGAGAGAAGACCTGTAAGGCAAAGCCTTGGATGAATGGGCCATGAACTCGGTGGCCTCTAGGTTTCCAACTGTACTGTCGCTTTGACAGACTAGCTGTGGATTTAGAGGTGGGCTAGTGCTCCATCCTGGATGACGATATTCAGAAGTAACTCCTTTGCACTCTTCCTTTTCCCCAGGAGGCAGCAGTCAGGGCATCCATTTACTTCTCATTAATAGATGCAGGACCCCCTCCTCTTCCTTCTCCATCTACCTCATGTATAGCATTCTTTGGGCAGAATCCCAATGAGTTCCTAAAAAATAAACAATAACTTTACATATACCATGTCACTTTAATCTGTCAAACAGATCTCCAAAACCCAGTTCATCAAGAGCAATATGTTGACACTCTTTCCCTGAAATCATCTTAATTTACTCCAGATCAAGGTGACCTGTTGAGCACTACTCTTTTAGAAAAACATTGTGTCCTTAGCATCATCCCTGCCTGTTATTGTCTCTGCCTCTGATCACACCTATTTCACAAGAGACCAAGAAATAACAGAATCTGTAAGATTTTTCTTAGAGTTGGAGGAATTGTATCAATGGTCTGAGTCTTTGGCATCTTGAGAATTTTCTCAGCCTGTCTGACAACCATTGTTCTGTCCTGATTTGGGGATGGGAAGAGGGATGGCTAAAGGAAAGAAGGGATTGAGTAAGAGACAGTATGCCCATTTGAACGCGTAACTATTTGACTACTTAATCCTGCCTTCCCACTTTGTAGGAAGGGTACAAAAGAGAACGGCCCTTCCCTAAATGGTATCAATTTTTGATTGGCAACCGGAGACGATCCTATTTGAAACACTATTGTGGGCAACCTAAATCAGACTGAAAACTCTTTCTGCCTGGCTTCCTTTCTAATTCTTTTCCTTTCTTTTTCAGAAATGATCTCTAGTTTGAAGTCAGATTACACTACAGAACCATCTTGGATCAGTGTGGCAAAACAGAGACAAAAGGGCTTTGCCTCCCACTTTTCTAAAAAACCCAGGACCAGAGCTGAAATTAGGACTGAGACCAAGGAGCAAAAGTATGAGTCAAAATATAATCCAGATGTGGAGACTCCACCAAAGGTTAGTGAATCCACTGATGGAGCTTGCACGGGGAGTTATGCCAGACATGCAGTGACCATCTCTTACTGGGAGCATTAGTCAAGGACAAGTCTTCTTTATTTTGTATTCACACAGATGTGACAGCCTTGATGCTTTTGCAGCATTTATGAGAAGTAATGGATATGAAGAGAGTCTATAAATCAAGCCTCATCCTAAATATTCTAAAGTGGAATTCCATGAAATTGGGTGCATAAAAAAGTAGATAAAACAACAGCCCTATTACTATAAGCAGCGATAATAAAACAGATAATAAACCAGTAGGGTAAAAATTCAGCAGCTGTATGCTTTACCTTTAAGTACATGCACATGTTTTTCATAAATGAGAATCAAACCACGAACACAGAAGGCCCCTTTATCACAAGAGTCTGAGGATACCTGGAGCTGTACACAGTAAAGAGTCCTATAGTTGAATGCCCTTTCCACTTTAACTCATTATTTGTATGTTATGATGGTTAACTTTTAAAATCTGAGCTCAAAAATTGTATTCCTCCCAATTTTAAAGTTTAATTTGTTTTTGCTATATGTTTTAACAACCTCAGCCTAAGCTGTTTCTAAATTTTCCTAGTAAGTCCAGGACTTTTGCTTGTTTGTGCAATGGAGGCACTTTAGAGCTTCTCTCTCTTGGATCTGAATGACCAGCATCATTGCTCTTACACTTTGGGGCACTCATGATGACATCATCCCAGGGCATCAGACATTTAAGACAGCTAAGTAAAAAAACAGGAAACATGAGTGTATAGTGTGGGATGCTGGACCAAAGGGAGAATCACAGACAGGTGGGTATGAGAAGGAATGAGGATTCTGGGCTGCTAGCAATGGCAGTCAGTGTAAAGTTTATCAAGTGTTTATTTACGAAAAATCTCATTGAATAATTTTGGACTGTGATTGACCATGTGTAATCAAAACTGGGCAGTGAAAGCTTAGGGAAGGGGAGCTCTTTTTCATTTAATGTTTCATTATGCACTCCTTTCCATATCAGTCCCTAAATGCGTACTTTTAGGTGTTGATGTTCACACTTCTACATACCGATTTGGTTTGGTTTCACACTTACCTGTAGATTTGAAAATGTTCCAGGATGCAGACATGAGGATAGGGATGATGGAATGATGCCTTCTTCTTAGGAAATCTGCAGAAAATGAACCTCAAGAAAGCATACTACATTTATACATCAGAAGCTGTTTCTGAGATCCTATAGAAGTGCTTACTAAATTTATTAAGGGAGTCGTGCCTTAATCATTGCTCTGCTTTAAAGATCTGTCCTTTTTTTTTTTTGTCATTGGTAACCTCTTTTGTCAGAAGAAAATACCCTAGCGTGTGTAAACTGTTGACTTAGAACAGTCTTGTAGATATCAACTTTAAATGCCTACACAATACAGTTACATCATTTTCTAGTGGAAAAAGCACTTCTAGTCGTATACCAACAAGTTTTGGAAGGTAGAAATCATATAGTGCTTACTTCAACCAACTGGATCAGATTTGCTTATAACCGTCACATCTTGTTAGCTCACAGCTAAGTGATGGCACAGTGTTATAGAGAAGGTTGTTCTCCCATCCAAGTAATAACCAGCTCCAGCACTACTTAGCTTCTGAGATAAGAAGACACTGGGTACAGTCAGGATGCTTTGGCCATAGGCAAGAGAGAAGGTATTCTCATATCTGTTTGCTTACACTATTTGTATCACTAGACAGCTTTTCTTCCTGGTCTGAAAGAAAGGTGGCAAACTTGATCCAGTTTGGGATTTGTTAATAATTTAAGTTTTGGTACTGGAGAGATTGCACAGTGGTTATGAACATTTAGTACTCTTTCAGAGGACATGGAGTCCGTTCCCAACACCCCCATAGCAGCTCACAACCAAATGTAACTCCAGTTCCAGGGACGCAATACTCTCTTCTGGCCTCAGCGGCAGTGCCTGGGGTGCACACACATATATGCAGCAAAACACTTGAATATACACACAAAATAGATATGTAATTAAATAATATATGCCAAATAAATCATTAAATATATATATGTATTATATATATGTGTGTGTGTGCGTGTGTGTGTGTTACAAGCCCAAGGAGTTTTGTGCTATCTTTTATTATTGATCTATATAATCAATTTTTATAGTTATAGATTTCTATTCAGATGTATACTTCTGCATCAATATCTATATCCTCTATCTCTTTTCTTCTGATTATTGTTGAACTCATAGTATCCAGGACAGGGTCCACGCCATATTGTCTTCTAAGTAGTTTGCTGTCTTTCTTTTTTTTTTTTTTTGAAAGTAATTTTATTAAATTATAAAAAGTTTCCATTTACGCCCCTCCTCCCAACACCCTCCCACTCCCCCCCTCCCTCTTCTCCTCCCTCTTTGTCCCCAAGGGCAGTCAGGGTCTCCTGCCCTGTGGGAAGTCCAAGTTCCTCCCCCCTCCCTCCAGGTCCAGGAAGGTGAGCATCCAAACAGACTGGGTCCCAAAAATCCAGTATATGCAGAGGAAACCAGTCCCAGTGTCATTGTCAATGGCTTCTCAGTAAGACTGCAGGCCAGCCACATTCAGAAAATACGGCCACATTCAGAGAATCTGGTTGGATCACATGCTCGTTCAGTCACGGTCCATCTGGCCTTGGTAAACTCTCATTAGATCCGACCCCTTGTATCAGTGGGTGATAGTATCCCTCGCAGTCCTTCGTCATTTTCTTCCTCCTTCTGCTCCTCATTTGGATCTTGGGGGGGCTCAGTTCGGTGCTCCAACGCGGGCCTCCATCTGTATCGCCATCCAACGCCAGATGAAGGATCTATGGTGATAAGCAAAATATTCATCAGTATAGTCACGGGCCAAGGCCGGTTCAGTCACCCCCTCCTCTGTCCAGAGAACAATCTGGGGATCTCTCCTTGGACCTGGGATCCCATATATAATCAAGTTTCCTGTAAACTCTAATATGACTCCCTTAGTTGAAATATATTCTTCCCTGATCCCACATTCATCCTTCCTCCCTTCCCCCCATCCCGGTCAACCGAGCTTTCTCCATTCCTCCCTACTCAGAGAAACATCACCTTTCACGATAGCCACAAACACCATAAAATATCTTGGGGTTACTCTAACCAAGGACGTGAAAGACCTATTTGACAAGAACTTTAAGCCTTTGAAAAGAGAAATTGAGGAGGATACCAGAAAATGGAAAGACCTCCCCTGCTCTTGGATTGGGAGAATCAACATAGTAAAAATGGCAATTCTACCAAAAGCAATCTACAGATTCAATGCAATCCCCATCAAAATCCCATCAAACTTCTTCACAGACCTTGAGAGAACAATAATCAAGTTTATATGGCAAAACAAAAAACCCAGGATAGCCAAAACAATCTTATACAATAAAAGAACTTCTGGAGGCATTACCATCCCTAACTTCAAACTCTATTACAGAGCTACAGTATTGAAAACAGCTTGGTATTGGCATAAGAACAGAGAAGTCGACCTATGGAATCGAATAGAAGACCCAGATACTAACCCTCAAACCTATGAACACCTAATTTTTGACAAGGGAGCTAAAGGTATACAATGGAAGAAGGAAAGCGTCTTTAACAAATGGTGCTGGCATAACTGGATGTCAACCTGTAGAAGAATGAAAATAGATCCATATCTATCACCATGCACAAAACTCAAGTCCAAATGGATTAAAGACATCAACATCAATCTGTCCACTTTGAACCTGATAGAAGAGAAATTGGGAAGTAGTCTACAAGATATAGGCACAGGAGTCCACTTCCTAAGTAGGACCCCAGTAGCACAGACAATAAGAGAAACAATGAATAAATGGGACCTGCTGAAACTGAGAAGCTTCTGTAAAGCAAAGGACACTGTCAGTAAGACAAAAAGGCTGCCTTCTGACTGGGAGAAGATCTTCACCAACCCCTCATCAGACAAAGGTCTGATCTCCAGAATATACAAAGAACTCAAGAAACTAGACACTAAAACTCTAATTAACCCAATTAAAAAATGGGGTACTGATCTGAACAGAGAATTCACAACAGATGAATTTCGAATGGCCAGAAGACACTTAAGGTCATGCTCAACCTCCTTAGCGATCAGGGAAATGCAAATCAAAACCACTTTGAGATACCATCTTACACCTGTCAGAATAGCTAAAGTTAAAAACACCAATGATAGCCTATGCTGGAGAGGATGTGGAATGAGGGGAACACTCATCCATTGTTGGTGGGAATGCAAACTTGTGCAGCCACTTTGGAAATCAGTGTGGCGGTTTCTCAGGAAACTGGGAGTCAACCTCCCTCAGGACCCAGCAATTCCTCTCTTGGGAATATACCCTAGAGATGCCCAAACATACTACAAAAGCGTTTGTTCAACTATGTTCATAGCAGCACTATTTGTAATAGCCAGAACCTGGAAACAGCCTAGGTGCCCCTCAATAGAAGAATGGTTAAAAAAGGTGTGGAACATATACACATTAGAGTTTTACTCAGCGGTAAAAAATAATGACATCTTGAATTTTGCATGCAAATGGATGGACATAGAAAACGCTTTACTGAGTGAGGTAAGCCAGACCCAAAAAGAGGAACACGGTATGTATTCACTCATAAGTGGATTCTAACCATAATTAAAGGTCTTTGAGCCTATTATTCGTGATCCTAGAGAAGCTAAATAAGAAGACGAACCTGATGAAGATTATTTAGCTATCTGCCAGGAGGTAGGAAATAGTCAAGAGTCCCAGGTAACCTTGGGTGCATGGGGGGGGTGGGAGGGTTGTTGGAAGGGGAGAGAGTTTGCTGTCTTTCTTGTCAGGGCTTACAAAGGTTTTCTTTTCATTTTGCCATACAGGAACCCGAACCCACAACTGATATCCCCCCGAGAATGACTTTTTCTTCTACTGTTCCCAGAGAGGAGATGTCAAGGCTGTCTAAGTCTACAAAATCAGGTGAAAAGCATTCATTCTCACCTGTCAAAAAAGCCCGGAGGAATGTGATGAAACATTTTGCAATTTCAAGTTCAGGCAATGTTATTGATCAAATCAGCTTCATGATACTTTCATGTCTCTTTCATGAAATGCAACGGACATTAGCTTACTTTAAGGAAATCCAGTTGTTATAGCTGAGTCCAGTGTGCAATCTCCATAGCCCTTTCTAGTCTCTCACCTCACTGAAGAAGCGATCAAGGCAAGGCACAAAATGCTCTTGTGGCTAGGAAGGAGAGGAAAATACCAAGCCATTTTCAAAGCAGTGTTTCTTCACCTGTTCTAACCTCAATGAAATCTGTTGACAATTATCCACTGTATAGGCCCATCAGCATTGATTCATGATTATTGAAAAGGCTTGCCTCACATGCTCTACATTCTGACTGAGGATGTGAGACATGGGGGTATGTTAAAAGCTGCAAAGAAATGTGTCAGGAAAGGATAGACTATGACCTCATCGGCGAGAGTTATGTACCAGAGGGATTTCCTCAGCAGGAGCTGAAGTTGAGGAGGATGAGGGTTTTTTTTTAATATAACATAATTACTTATTGATTTTTTTAGAAATTTCACATCATGTACCCCAATCCTGTTCACCTACCAGTCCCTCCACATCTATCCCTCACTCCTGCAGCACCCCTCAAAAGAAACATCCTCCAAAATTTAATTTAAAACAAAACAAACAAACAAACAAACAAACATCAAACCCCACCTTGGTCCTCCATCATTCCGGCCTCAGTTCATCCCAGCGACGTTGAGAACTGCGGTGTGTCACACAGTGTACCCTTTGTCCAATCAGCCCCATCTACAAATGTTCATTGCAATGAGTCATTGGTCTGGTTCAAGGTCTCTGGCCTCTGGCACACCTCATCCCTGGACCCTCACCAAAACTGGAGAGGAGAATGGATTTACATTCAACTCAGGAAACCATTATTTGGCTGTGGTAATAGCTGTGATCATACTGATCCTTGTCTTAGGAGCAGTATATTCCCAAGATGTGGTTCTTAGCTCCCCTGAAGAATAGATCCACCAGGAATATTGTTAAATCATAGACAGCCCTTGCTCCATCCCTACTGATTCAGTTGGTTCAAGAAATTGCATAAGCACTGCCGGTTTTTGTGTTTCTTTGTGTTGCTTTTTTTGGGGGGGGGCGTTGTAGTTGTCATTTGATTTCAACAATATAGCCCAAGCTAGAGCATCGAACTCCTGGTCCTCCTGCCACAGCATCTGAACTGTTGGAATTAGAGGCATGGACCATCACATTCAGACACATTGGCATTTTTAAATGCTCCTAGATGTTTCCAATGTGTAGTTAGAATTGAGAAACACTTGTTTAGTCAAAGGGAGTGGAGTTGGGAAACAGATAGTAGTCTGTCGGACCACAGGAGTTGATAGAGTATTATTTCTCTGGATTTTATTAGATAAATTTATTGAGTCATCAGTCATTTTCACAATGTCAGTGACTGGTGAAAACAGATCTGACGTATATAAAAAAAGGAATAGGTAAAATGTTTCCCTTTGGGTGTCAGTTCGAAAGTATAAGCTAGTGAAATAATAAAAGTTAAAAGATGGGCTGTTACACTGCAAGAATCATCTCACATGCCTTCCCATGGCTATGATCCTACAGTTATTTCGAACCCGATGCTGCCCCTAGACATACATACTTACTGTGCCATTTGCCCAAGCTCTGATTTTTACAAGTCTGCCTTCTAAGAGAACAATGGTTGGAAAGTACTAAGAACTGGGTGATCAGAGCAAACCTGAAAGAATGGCCCATTGCATTTCATTTTCAAACGTGCTCTAGTGTCTCTGGGGTTTCTGACAGTGCATTGTTTGCTGTGATTCCAGTTGCGTTTGAGGATCAGTACAAGCTTCATCCATATACCAGGGAGAGAGACACCAGACGCTCTTCAAGTGTGCCACCCAAAATTTCATCACCCAAGGAGCCTGTGTGGTTCTCAATGGCCAAGAAGAAAGCCCAAGCATGGAGTCAAATGTCAGACATCATGCAATAAATAGCTCCTGGCTGGAGCCTCAGAATTTTCAGTAGCGATTGCCAGTCGCTGCGGTAATTCCATACAACAGCTTTTCTAGGGCTAGTTTTTATTAAGGAAAATAACTTTAGAAGTAGCAATTAACGTTTTTAATTGTTCGAGTGAAATACATCCTACTAATATCTAACCCTCAGAAAGTCACTACCAATATCCCCAAACCCAGCATGTTCTCCAGAAAAGTTAGGCTAGAGAGTTACAAAATCATTAACTTCAGACATTGTGTCTTAGAAGAAAGAAAACAACCACATTTTGCTTCAGCAAATTAAAGGCTGTCATTCCTTTCAACCAAAGAATTTTAATGGAAAGATTCAGGTGATTTAGCCCAGATAATGGATGTACTTTCAACCAGGAAGATGGCAAGTTCACTAGCTAGACTGTGTCTGGGTCCTCTGGAGAGCATCCTTCCTCTCTGGCTCCAGGCTGAAGGCAAAGAACTGTGTGTAACTCAACGTCTTAGTTCCTTTCCTGTTGCTGTAGTACATTCTCTGCTAAGACCAACCTAAGGAAGAAAGGGCTTATTTTGGCATAGAGTTTGAGTGCACAGCCCACCATAGCATGGAATTCCTGGCAGCAGAAACTTGAGGAAGTTGGTCACATTTTTTAGTCAAGAAATAGAGAGCAATGAATTTCTGTGTTCAACTTCCTTTCTCTTTTTATATTTTTTAGTCCAGGATCCAAGCCTAGGGAATGGTGTCATCTATGGCAGATGGGTTTTCTCCACCTTAATTAACCTTTCCATTGTCAAATTCTACACATTTATTCTATCTCTCAAGTCCAACAAACATTATGAGAAATCTGCATTTAGAAGCCTTAACAGTAAATCTAGCTCCTTTTTCCTAGATCCAAAGGACATCTACTTCTGTCGTATGCTTGCTGTGCTTAAACAGACATGCATTTTGAACATCTATGTTGGATGCTTCCCCATTCAAAACTATGTCTAGAAAGGCAATGAGAGTCTAAGGCTAACTTAAATAACTGGTGCTGGGTTTTGCTGATGATGCTATAATGACACACTGTACAACATGCTGAATTTTTTCATTTAATCTGTAAGACATCTCCTTATTTTGATCCTCTAGCTTTGCCCTTTTGATAATGTTAAGTTTTTCGTTGACTGGGTTTCATTCCATTTTTGTTTCTATGGTGAATAGTTTATTTAAACTAATGCTCTTAACATAGATAATTGCAGTATGTTAGTTCTAACACTTCCCTTCTGCAGTTTTGCCCATGCAGTCATTGCGTCATTCTCACTATGAGAACTCCCCATTAATGATATCTCTCCCATTACTAACAAGTCTCAGTTTTTAATCATAATCTTAAGGTTTTTCATTGCCTAGAAATGTATTCTGATGGGTTTGTTTCTTTTAGCTTTCTTGTTTTTTGGTTTTGATTAGCACAAAGCAAATAAATTCAATAAAGCTTATTCTGTAGTTTATTTATGTCTTGGGAATGGGGAAGGAAGGGGAATAGAATATGGACAACTCAGATTGAAGATTGTCAGTGGACCAAAATATTTTAAGAAGTTGCCTTATATAGAAGTAGTTTCCACACTGATGTGACCGACCAAGCTGATGGCCTCCATGTGGGCTTTGGTGGGTGGGGAAAGGGACCCAGCACATGGTGACTGCAAACCAGGAAGTTTGAGGACTGTATCAAAATCTTACACAAAGATAGGCTTCTAAACCAATCACTTTCAAAATCTTAGAAGCACTGGGCTCATGCAGAAATGGATGGTACACAGTAAAGGAGGAAAAGGTACTGTGGGACAATGGTCTTGTATCCTGTAAAGATTTATCACTTGTATTGGTTTAATAAATGCTGATTGGCCAGTAGCCAGGCAGGAAGTATAGGTGGGGTAACCAGAACAGGAAAATTCTGGGAAGAGGAAAGACTCAGTCTGCAGTCATGACCCAGACTTAGAGGAAGCAACATGAGAATACCTCACTGATAAAAGTACCAAGCCACATGGCTAGCACAGACAAGAATTATGGGTTAATTTAAGATGTAAGAGTTAATAAGAAGCCTGAACTAATAGGCCAACCAGTTTATAATTAGTGTAGGCCTCTGTGTACTTCTTTGAGACTGAATGGCTGTGAGACCTGGTGGGACAGAAACCTCTGTCAACAAAAAGGAGTTATAACATCAACTATTTATTGAGTCTGGCTAGTGAGACAGTTGAATTTCATAACAGGAGCTCAGTCAGAGAAATCCACATTTTAATCAACCAATAAAACATGTTTTATACAATGGGCTATCTTTTTTCATGTATATTAATAATGACCAGAGAGACTAGAATGGATTTTAGAACATTCAAATTACTAAAAACCTAACCAATGATATGAGCCTTATTTCCCACTCCCATTCTGCCTCTAGACCCTAGCCTATCCCCTAGACCAAGCTCCAGGTCCTATTCTAACCACACTTAGCTCTGGGAGCCTATGCCTTGATAGGACAGTAAGATTTATCAAAAATGGACCATCCTAAGGGCAGAGTGCAGCCTCTAGAAGCAGAGGAAATAGTCAGAGATATTAACTACATGGGCTGTATTCTAGCAGGATTAGGAAATGTTGTTTTCATAGGTTTCTGACCCTCTAAAGAAGAATAAGATTGGAAAATGGCCAACGCGTCACTTAAGAAATATGGAGGTCAAGGAAGGCATCCTTTATAATTAGATCTAAGAGCAATGCTATTTTAACAGCTTATCCAACACAAACTACACTATGCTAATACCCATCTATTGACTCATTCTGTCCTTCCAATGTAGGTAATAGGGACAAGAGTCTCTGTGCCTCTGCTTCATTATTTAGTCCTAGCCATAAGGAATGCTATATGATGGTATGCTTTAAACATCAACACTGATGTTAATAAAACAGGTTACAGAATGGTCAAGTCTACTTCAACATGTGTGCTAAGAGAGTATCCATTCAGTACAAAAACCAGTGCCTAGGGCTTTGGGAGGGTAAGACAAATAAAACCATTTAATAGACCCAGAAAGTGTAATGAGATGAAAGCAGTGATTAAGATTCCTGGCAAGGAAACCCACAACTGGATGTCTTCACTGGCAAATCGTGTGATTTTTTGAAGAAGAGCTAATATCGACGCTCCTCAAACTTTCCCACAAATTAGAAAGGAAAAGATAGCCACAAAAATGCTCTATGAAGCCAATACTGCACTGATATGGAAACTAAAGAGAAAATTGCAGACCATTTTCCTTGATCAACATAAGTGTAAAATTTCTTTTAAAAATTTTTTCAAAGTAAAGAGGAAATAAATTTGAAAGAGGGTAGGGAGGGGTATATGAGAGAATTTGGAAGGAGGAAATGGAAGGGGGAATGGTATAATTGTAATCTCAAAAAATTAAAGAAATGATTTTAAAAATCCTTGCAAGTTATAGAACACATTAAGAAGATTGTACATCAAGCCAACCAAGTTGGGGTTTCCTTCCATGGTTACAGGATTGGGTCAGCACTTCCGGAGGCTCCAGTGATACCTCCTTCACCAGGACCCCAGGTGTTGAAGAATGACCACTGCTCCCGGGCCTCTCGGCTCAGTCAAGGTCTTTGGAACATAGAAGTGTGCACCCTTGACTGGATTTTGGGGTCTTATTCCAGTGGTCAAGGGAACTGTGAGATCCAAAAGTGGAAAAAAAAAAGCAAGACTAAGCTGGACATTCAGATCAGGTAAGGACACCTGGGAAGATAGGCAAGAAAGTCAGACAGGCTTGATCACCCAACAGGAGATTGCATCTGAAGCCTGGCCATGGCAGTGTTACACTGCCAGGCTCACAATGAGTCAATGTCCAGTGAGTTAGGGAAACCAACTGGCAGACCAGGCAGCCAAACAGTCTGTCTTCCATGAGGACAAAGGTCCCCAGTCCCCTCTCACTATCTGCTAAGGCTGTTTTAACAATTGATGAAGAAGCTACTAAAAATCAGGATTGGCTGATTGCTACAGATAATAATCCCAGGGACAACAGCTCCCAGTCTAATCCCGAAAGCTTATGAAGCAATCCATATGGGAAAAAAAACTGCCGTCCAATTTTTTTTATAAGTCATGTGATTTTATTTTTTTCTTGTTTTGTTTTGTTTTTTTCTTTTATTATTATTATTATTATTATTAAGAATTTTCACCTCCTCCCCTCCTTCCATTTTCCTCTCCCTCCCCTCATTCCCCCTCTCCAGTCCAAAGAGCACTCAGGGTTCCCTGCCCTGTGGAAAGTCCAAGGGCCTCCCCCTCCATCCAGGTCTAGGAAGGTGATTTTTATTGAACTCTACATTTTTCTCTGTTCCCCTCCCTACCTCTCCTTTCCCCTTCACTCTTCTCCCAAGGTCCTTATGCTCCCAATCTACTCAGGAGATCTTGTCTTTTTCTACTTCCCATTTATATTAGATCCATGACCATACAAGAATTATTGCAAAGATATTTGGTGGTGCCAAAGTTGCCAACACTGACCTGATGAACTAGCAAAGACTGTGTGTTATTGAAAAAATCTCAAGCAGGGATTCAAGGTACCCATGTTGACATAAAACAGGGCTCCTACTTATTTAATATATATAGTGGACTTTTCAGACACTCAACCCAGGAGAAATTAACAATAACTGGTAGTGGTTGTATGCATTTTTGGGGCTACATAGCTTATTCTATCTGCACAGAGAAGTAACTAAGAAACTTGCACATGCAGTACCACTCCCCTAATCTTCAGGCCTGGTTGAGAAAATAAAAGGACTTTAACTCTACCATATATACTGTTTAGGATGCATTGCGCATCCTGTAAATGATTACTGCCTTTTTGAGATCATGGTTGCTAGCCACCTCCACTACTCCTAAAGGACTCAGGGGAACTCTGAGAGTATGGATGCTGTGGGAGCTCCTTCTGCTCCTTCAGCCAATAGCCTTTAAGATACCAGCCCACTTGGGCGTGGTCTTGTTTGCTTTAAAAAGCAGTGGTAGCCCTGTGCTCACTTTCTTGCTTCCAGCTCTGCTTCCAGCTACTAGACTCCTTTCCTGATCACGCAGAGGGCTGTTGTCTGGGACGGTGATCTGTAAGTTTTTTCCCTTTAAATAAATAACCATTCTATTAATCATAATTCCAAACTGGTGTGAGATTGTTTGTGACTTACACCTTCTTATGGACACAACCACCTCTAGAGGTTCTTGAAGACTTGGCTGACACTGCACAAAAAAATGCCCAATTCTCATCACCTCCTCATCTCTTAAAGTTGTAGGCGTCAAGTCATGGATATACCACACTCAACCACGGCTGCTGAGGATCCAAGTCAGGAGTGGGCTGTGAGAGCCCACTTCAGAGTAGCCACTGAAACTGACCATATCAAAAACGACCTAGAAATAAGGACAGTGGCTCAGCTCCTGACATCCCACTGGATCCCATGAATGTGCATCCAAGCCAGTTCCCACTCAGCCTCTCTGACTCGGTTACATACATTAGTATGGAGTTCTAAGGAAGCCCCAATTCCTGGATGCCCATCATTATAACTTACTAACTCCTACAGATGGTGCTACTTTGGAATAAACAGTCATGGAATACCCCTGAGAGCTAGTGTGATGGAACTGCCCACACCAGTAAAACAATAAAACTAATAAAACTGTGGTCCCTTTGACTATGGCTCCAGCTAGTAACAGCCTTGGATGAGTAGTCAGAGGACAAAATAACTATTGTGAGGAAACCTGGTCACTGATGTAGGAGGGTCATCTCTCTTATATGTTATTTTCACTGGTTAATAAAGAAACTGCCTTGGATTTTGATAGGACAGCAGCTTAGATAAGCGGAGTAGACAGAACAGGATGCTGGGGAAAGAAGCAGAGTCAGGCAGACACCATGAAGCTCTGGCCCAAGATGAACACAAGTTAGAATCTTCTCGGTAAGCCACCACCTCGTGATGCTACACACATTAATAGAAATGGGTTAATCAAGATGTGAGAGTTAGCCAGTAAGAGGCTAGAGTTAATGGGCCAGGTCGTGTTTAAATGAATACAATTTGTGTGTTGTTATTTCGGGTGTAAAACTAGCCAGTTGGGAGCCGGACACCGGGAACGCATCCTGCCACTCCTTATACAACAGGTCACATGCAGACTTCCTCACAAAAGGGGCCTTGAAGTGGGGGCCTCCCATAGAGTGACAAGGAGATAAGACCATAATGGGCCTTGAGGGTAAAGAGGAATAACATGGAAACTGACCATTGAGAAGCCCTTCGTGTGGGAAAGCCATGTCTCAAAATGCTGGCTTTACTAAATGTCAGCCTTCATCCCCTAAATCTAGACCAAAACTGTATGTATGCATACAGGCAAACATGTTTACTTATACTGGAGCAGGAATGACTTGACCAAAGCCTGACTATCAACAACACAAAAGGAACATATATAATTGGGCCACCTGTTGAAGTCGTAGGAAAAGCCCAGCGTGTG